TTTGTTTGGTACCGGGGATTGAACTCAGGTTCTTGCGCTTGTGCAGCAGGCGGCGAAACCACTGAGCTAAATCCCCGGCCCCTATAGTTCATCTTTAATAGAGAAAAGCATCCCATTTTTGTCTCTTACGACATTGGCATTTTTTAAGAGGTCCAGGCTTGTTATTTTGTTTTGTCTGATTATTCCCAGCAAATTTAGTGTAGTAATATACTTCCTGTTACATCACTTCTTTCCTTCTCACTGCTTTCTGGCAGTGACTCCCATTGTCCCTTGGAAAGGCCCCCTTTCCCAAGGCCTGGCAGGTCTGAGTAGTGCAGGGCCCCAGATAAAGGAGTGGGGTCAGGAGTTTGGGTCTGAATGGCTTCAGATCCTCGGCTGTGTACTGCTTTGCTAAAGTTGCTTCTTTCTTGTTGAAAACATAGTTTTGAATGGGTTTATAATATCCTATCCCTGTGGAAGTACAATAATTTTCTTACCCATCCTCATAATATTATGTACTTACGGGCCGGGGATTTAGCTCAGTGGTTCCGCCGCCTGCCTCGAAAGTGCAAGGAGCCAAGTTCAATCCCTGGTACCAAAAAAAAAAATTATGTGCTTAATTGCAGTGCTTTCAGTTTTTTACATTTGTATTTTTGCAGATAAACCTTGGTCCCTGCTTTAATTTCATTAAAAGTCAGGGGTCACATTTTGGTCTCTCGACTTTACTGATTTTGCTCTCTCGACTTTACTGATTTTGCTCTCTATAAACTGCTTCCTTAGGGCCTTGTGCCTAGGGGAAGTGTCTCCCTGGGTGAGTTCCTAGCTTGCTCAAGGTCTGTAGGCTTGCAGTAGTTGTGAGTGGTTCCGTAATCAGTAATGTGGGAGTGCCTTTCACTCATTGTTAGCACCACTGCGACCAGACTAGTGGGTCAGGGACCAGACTAGTGGGTCAGGCCTGTTGTGATCCGTTGTCTTCTTCCTTCCTCAGTCCCATGAGTGAAGTGATGTTATCTGCCCGCATTGTCAGAGGAGGAAGCCAAGACCCAGCAGCTAGCAGAGTTAGGGACCCAATTCTGTACACTTTCTGAGCATGTCTGCTTTCAGCTCACAGGCTGGTGAGAGGACCAGAGTGAGCCAGAAAGCTCTGCCAGGTAGAAGATTTGGGAGCCATGGAGCCTCCTCCCATTCTGGGAAATGGCGACAGCTTCCTTGTCCTGGGCTCTCTTACATGCCTCGCTCCTTGCCAGAACTGTTTGAACCTTGTCTCTAACTCTCGCAGCAGCCCTGGCAGGGCGGGCTGTGAGCTGACCCCAGTGCATCAGTGAGGATCCTGCCAGGTCCACAGCCACCTGTGGTTCCCATCTGGGACTCACTGCCCCTGTGTGTTGGCCACTGCCTCTGTTTTCCCAGTGTGCTTTATGGAATCATCATGTGAGCTCACATGTCAGGGTATTGTTAGTCATATGTATTCTTGGTAATACATCCTAATGATAATTGTATGTATTCTCCGACTGCAGCCCTAATAGGTCAAAGATTGATCACGCAGCTTATTCCTGAGCCCAGCACCTTTACATGTGCGTGCCAGGTGTTGGTGTGACTTGGTGGGCTGGGTGGCATCTGGACTTGCAGCAGAAAGTTGAGTTTGCACGTGTCCATTCTTGCTGTGGTAACTACCTGCCGACACTTAATTTTCACCAGTCTATTCATCGTCTTTGTGTTCTTTAGCTTGTGCTGCTGGGTATGGAACCCAGAGCCTCAGGGATGCTAGGTGAGCGCTCTGCCTCTGAGTACGTCCAGGGCAGCTGACATGGGGGTAAACTTCATTATTTTTCTTCTCTGTGGACTAGGGGCAAAATCGGCAGAAACCTGAGCAAGCGGACAGACCAGAGCACTGGGCTCCGGCGGTAGAAAGGAGAAAGAGAGAAATGTGTACAGTGGGACCAAGGCTGACTGTTCTGTCTTCCTGACCCTATGTAGATTTCTTTCTCTTTCCTTGTGTCCTCTCATGCTGTGCATTATCCTCAAACAACTCATAACCTGCGGCTTGATCTTGATTTGCAGCCAAAGTGATTATCCACCAGACACTCGGTGTCTTAGAAGATATCGTGGAGAACATCTCCGGGGAGTCCACCAAGGCCCGACAGATCTGCTACCAGTCGCTGCAGGAATCTGTTCAGGTCTCCCTGGCCCTCTTTCCAGCTTTTATCCATCAGTCAGGTAGGAGCTGGCCCAGGGGCTTCATGGGTGGATGCTGCTAACCAGAGAGAGCCTGAGTGCCTGCTTAGATGTGTAGGGCGTGCAGCACAGGCCTTGGCTTGTTCAGTTATGGGAAACCAGTGCCAACAGCAGAGGGCAGTGCTGTTCTTTTTGGAGTTCTGGGCTGAAAAAGCCCATGAAAAAGTGAGCAGAGCCCTCAGCGTGGACCCTGGTACCTGTCACCTTGCAGAGTCATTTGTGGCCTCATGCCTAGTTTTCCTTCTTTCATCTTTGCCTTCTCCCAGTAAGCAAGGGTAAACTGAGAGAGTAGTGTGCATTACACAAGAGAGGTGAGAGAAGTGTCTCAGATTAGTGCTGCTTATTTACCTGCAAGGTGAGTTTGGCTGAGGTTGCTCCCCTCAACCTACCCTGTCACCATCGCTGATGAGGCTCTCCAGCTCTGAGTGATGCACTTGCCTGGCTGTCCTGAAAGCATGTACAGTTGACCTGCCAGTGAAATATGGGTACTTCGCAGCATATATTCATTGACTGTTGCTTGCAAGCAGATTGTATGGGATTAAAGTCAAAATATACCATGCAGGATAATTGTTGGGATCTTGAAGTGGAACCAAACTGTACAAACTGTAAGCAGTATTTTCTGCAATTAGTCCCCTTCATGCAGCATGGCCACGCAGCCTGAGTACACACTCATTATCCACATTTAGCCACTTAACCTGTGACCTGACTGCAGGGATGATTGGTCACAGAGAGAAGTGGCCGAGTTGCTCAGGTGTGCCCTAGTTGAGCACGAAATGACCCATCTGCAGTGAAAGCTCTGAGCATGGCTGGGTGCTGGGCACTGAATGAGGCTTCGAGGCGCCCTCCATTTCCTGTTGGTCCGTCAGGCCAAGGTTCCTTGTACCAGAGCTGTTTTCTCAGCAGGTTCTTAATCATTTTCTGCTTTCTATCATTGGCCCTGCTGGTATTGGGGAAATTTCTTCCAGCAGGAAGCATTAGAGAGAGATGACAGTGCAGATTGCACAAGAGAGTCGATCAAGCCAAGGACTGCACTTGTCCCCATGTGTGTGACTTTGACCATTTCCTTTATTTAGATGTGACTGACGAGATGTTGAGCTTCTTCCTCACTCTGTTCCGTGGCCTTAGAGTACAGATGGGTGTGCCTTTCACTGAACAGATCATACAGACTTTCCTCAACATGTTTACCAGGTAACCACTCACCTGCCACTAGTCTTTACGAGTCATCTGAGAAGCAGTGGGGCCTGGCTACACAGCAGGGGACTTTCTGCTACTTTTCTTCACTTGGCACAAACATTGGTTTTCACGCTGCTCCCCAGAGAAACAGTTGCTGGGTTACTGTGTGGTGTTCTCTTGTCTACAGAGAACAGTTGGCTGAAAGCATCCTCCACGAAGGCAGCACTGGCTGCCGGGTAGTGGAGAAGTTCCTGAAGATCCTGCAGGTGGTGGTACAGGAGCCTGGCCAGGTGTTCAAGCCTTTCCTCCCCAGCATTATTGCCCTGTGCATGGAGCAGGTGTACCCCATCATTGCTGAGGTAGGTGAGGCCAGTGTGGTCCCCAGTGCTGCCCCCCTGCTTGGAAATGATGTGCCAAGGAAAAATGTTTTAAAAAGTTAATTTGTTAGTTATTTTAATATTTTTATAAAATTCCCCCTAAGAAACAATGCTTTTAGCTTGGTGTAGTCTTGTTAGTGTCAGGTTAATTAGAACTAGACTAGTGTAGTCATTACAGCGCTGATTGGTGAGTCAGTCAGTCTCCTTTGGCACTGTTAGGTGCATGTATGGTTTCCCGCAGCAAACATTATTACAAGTATACTTTCCTATGAAAGCATTCATGATCTCAAGGATGCAAGGCACGTTCTTGGAAGCATTCAAACAAGCCTTCATTGTTAAAGGAAAGCACTTTGTACTTCTTGGAAAACACACACTCAGCATGACAAAATTCAGAGTAAGTTGAATTTTATGCTAATAGTTACATAAATAGATGCTAACCTTTTTAGCCTGAACTGAGACTGAAACAAGTCCAAATGTTTTGCATCCTGAAACGTACTTGGGCCCTGTTTGGCTTCCTGCCATGGAACTTGGGACCTCAAGTGTCAGTTTAATTCTAATCAAACAAAACTGGATTACATAGATGTGCCTTATAATTTTGAATTCTACAGAGATATCAGGAATAATGCTATGTTCTCCAGTGATACGGAGATTTTGGTTAAGTTAGAAAATATATTGCACTCGCTCTCTTCTCTGAGAACCCTGGGGGCCAGCAGGAGGCAGCAGGCAGATGGCCGTTAGCACAGCACGCTGCCTCCACCAGGACGTCCTCTTAACTAACATTTCCTCCTGTGGTTTCCAAGTGCTCTTTAAACTCTTTCAGTGAAGAGCAGAACTGCTTCTAAGGCATCTTACCGACCTTAGGCTCAGAGACTGTGTAAGGCCAGCAGGTTCGCTGGGGCAACACTTTCACCCTGGGAAAGGGGATCCAGGCAGGAAGATATGACATCAGATGGGCTGTTTTCTCAATGGAAAATGCACACCCTCATCGTTCCCCACGTAGTGCTTTTTTTCCTAGCGTACACAGCTGAGTACTCCTGTCGCAGGAAGGGGCCTTGGGGCGCTCCATCTCAGGGTCTCAGGGTAGGCGCTCTCTGGTGTGACCTGCACCTCATGGGGCTCGATGCTTTCTGCACAGGACATGACTGGAGTGCGGGTAGATGCTGACACCCTGCGCTCTGTCCTCAGGTGTCTCTTAGGCTTCCATGCTGCCTGTGCCTGGGTCATGAGTAGCTCCCATGCTGCACAAAGGGAATGTGCAAATGTGTGTTTGTGTTTCCACAGCGTTCTTCCCCTGATGTGAAGGCCGAGCTGTTTGAGCTCCTTTTCCGGACGCTCCATCACAACTGGCGCTACTTCTTTAAGTCCACTGTCCTGGCCAGTGTGCAGAGGGGACTTGGCGAGGAGCAGATGGAGAATGAGCCCCAGTTCAGTGCCATCATGCAGGTGAGGTGGGAGAGCCGGCAAGGCTGCCGTGTGAACCACGTGCAGCTATGTCCTTCTGCGTGCTGCCTGGGTCTGCTGGCCCCCTGTCCCTCATGTGCTGCCCTGGCGTGTGGTCCACATCCTCCAGCCTGGCCACTGCAGCAGGTCCTGGCTTTGAAGTCCCACGGATTTGGGTCTGAAGCTCAACTCCACCTGTTAGTACCTGTGCAGTTAGTGGGTTCCTGGGGCTGCAGTGCCTCCATTTGTAAAGTGGGGCAGATACTGCCCATCTCACGGTTTGTTGTGAGATAAATGAAGTAACATACCCGGAACGCGTACTGCTAGAGATGCATGGTGTGTGGAGACTGCCTGAATCCAAGCCACCCGGGGCTCTCCTTATCAGGAGGCAGCTGAAGAGGGGTCTCTCAGGGAGGGGCCCCGCAGTCCTTTTTTTTTTCTTTCTCCTCAATCACAGTACTAGAGATTGAACCCAGTACCTTTACACTTAGTAACATCCTCAGCTCTTGGACCTCACTAAGTTTTCCAGGCTTGGCTTGGACTTGTGATCCTCTTGCTTCAGCCTCCCAGAGTGCTGGGATACAGCTGTGTGGCACCATGCTGACATGCTAGAAAAAGCAAAACCCCAAGGACAGAGAATGAGCAGTGGTTGCTTAGGGGTAAGGGGAGCGGGTTGTCACAAAGGAGGCCGAGGGAGCATTTTGGGGTGATGGAAATGTGTCTTGTTACGGTGGTGGCACACTGATTGTGTCAGTCAGAATGTCATATTGGTGAACTTCAAAAGCTTGACCATATGTTTTACTTCGGTGAGCCTTAATTTAAATAAATGGAAACCTTGGATAGCATGGAGATTCCACTCCTGCAGCAGGGATGACAAGGTCCCTTTGCATAGCTTATTGGCAGAACAGTTGCACTTACTGTAGGGAGGCTTCCTGCAGACCGCCAGCCTCTCCCGCTCTTCCTGAGTCACTTTCTGTTTGAGCAGGGTGGGTGGTGTTTACAGTGGGATTCATTTTGCTCTTGAACTACTGGCTTCCTACCCAGGCATTCCAGGGCAGTTACAGTTTTCCTCTTGCATAACCCCGAGGCAAAGCTTGAGAAGGAGCCTCAGGATCTGTGACCTGTGAGACCCGGGATGCCAAGGAGAAGGGTTGCTTCCGGCAGGGTTGGTTGGCTCAAGGAGGCAAGCAGGTGGGCTTCAGCATCTCCTAAGATCGCTGGGGGATTTGGCTGGAGTTGTGGCCTTCTTGTTTGAAAGACCTCGCGAAAAGGTTCTAGTGGTTGTCTTGTAGGTGCAAAACCAAACTTGGAAGGGAAGCTCAGTGGGGAGACTTGGGTGCTCAGACTCAGGCATGTTCCACTGCCTGGCCGGGCAGGTCAGGAAGCTCATGATGGGGTGCCCTCATGCAGAACGTAAGGGGAGACCCTGCTCAGGGTGTGTCAGTGCTGCAGGTACAGGGTGGAGGCCCCAGAGGGGCTGGACCTGGGGGAGCTCCGGGGCTGCTTATGAAACGGTGGTCTCGTTCCCAGGCTTTTGGACAGTCCTTTCTCCAGCCAGACATCCACCTTTTCAAACAAAATCTGTTCTACTTAGAGACTCTCAACACCAAGCAGAAGCTGTACCACAAGGTAAGTGCCCATCTCTTGGAAAGACACCTGTAGCGAGCACCCTGAGACCGGGTCAGCCCAGGGGCTGAGTCAGCCTCATGCCCTGCACTCCCCACACCTCTCCCTGCAGAAGATCTTCCGGACCACCATGCTCTTCCAGTTTGTGAACGTCCTGCTCCAGGTCCTGGTTCACAAGTCCCACGACCTCCTGCAAGAGGAGATTGGCATCGCCATTTACAACATGGCCTCTGTCGACTTCGATGGCTTCTTTGCAGCCTTCCTTCCAGAGTTCCTGACGAGCTGTGATGGTGTGGATGCCAACCAGAAAAATGTTCTGGGGCGGAATTTCAAGATGGATCGGGTGAGAAGAGCAAGGCCAGGCTAAAAGGGAAGAACGGAGGCTGGACCTGTCCAGTGAGGGGCAGGCTGCCCCAGGGCACACCAGGGCCTGTGGGTGTAATAGGGTGGCACCTTGCGTGATGCCTGGATGCCTAGTGCCGGGCTGGGCTGAGGAAACACCGTCTTGGGATCTTTCTCTCCTTCCCCTACCTTGGCTTCTGTAGCTCCCAGGTGCTCAGTCTCAGCCACTGCAGCCTCAGGCCTGGTCCTGCAGTCCATCCCCTGTGTCGGGGAGGGTGGGGAATCTCCTTCATTTCCTCTGTACTTAAATGACTCCGCTGGCCAGAGCACACCTCAGGGGGGCCAGCACTGCTAGGTGTAGTAGGAGTTATACTTGTCCCTGATTTGCCCATACTTGCAGACTGGCCAAGAAGACAAGTGCTCAGGAGCTTCAGCTCTGGGCCTCTGGGTAGAGATGGGCCCGGGTTGCCCATCTTTCCAGAGCAACCCCAGCCCAGGGCCCGTGGGGAAGTCCTTGAGGTACCCACCCTCTGATCTGCCCTTCGGCGAGGGAAATGGGGTGCTGACAGCTCTGAATGCACCTGATGCCGTCACTGCTGGGGTGTCTGGACCCGCAGTGCCAGCTGCCCCTGTCCTGGGGTCTCCCTCCTGGGAGCTTGCCTGGCTCTTCCTATGCCGGTGTCTGAATCTGCATTTTTCCCAGTAGGCTCTCCCTGGAACTTTTCCATAGAACAAGTCGTGTTCTCCCTTGAACCCTCACACAGACATGGTGACATTAAGATGAAGTCTTGGGGCTCTCTTGTGTTTCCTATGTTCCTGACTGCTGTGCTTGGCCCATCCCTGGCCGCCTGCCTGATGCGGGCTTCATTTTGGTCATCTTGGGGTGGACGTGACTCCCTGCTTCTCACAGTATGCATCAGGAAAGTTGTTTGTAGACCCAGACCCTGTTTTCTTTTGTCTTGGAATCTTTCGTTCCTTGAGATCTGTCTTACTCTTTTAAGTTTGAAGTTCACTTTAGCTTCTTTGGTATTTTTTCTTCCCTTTCTTGGGGCCCAAATCTAATACTTAATGATCAGTTTCTCATGACATCAGTATGAGTTAACTTCTTGATTTAAAGCAGTGACTTCCAAATCTACTTATATATCAAAAGCCAAGGCTTATTAAAGACAGAGAAACAGACTTATATTCCACTGAGAAATTCTGACTTGGTGTTTGAGAGCCACTGATTTAAAGGACTTTTCTTGAATAAGGGATAAAAGGAATCCGGCTTTCCAGAAGCTCATGTGTTCTTTCTGTGTTTGGAGCTGGCTTTCTGTTAGGCCCAGTGGCCCATCTGGGTCCCAGCTCCTGCCTTTAGCCAGTATTCTCCAGACACAGGCAATACAGGGCCCCCTGTGGGCCACACCGTGCAGAGCAGTTCCGCATCCTGTCCTGGCTAAGCCTTCCGCAGCCCTCTGAAGCACAGGTGGTGCTGCTAAGCATTTCACAGGGAACCTGGGCTCCAGAGGCCAGCAGGTTGATGGCAGTTACAGTGCTTGGACACGGTGGTGCAGGGAGCAGGATTCAGGGCTGGTTATGCTGCCTACATTACCAGCCCAGGGCCCGTAAAGCCCAGCAGAGGCCCTGCCTAGCCAGCTAGGGCCAGGACAGCAAGGTCTCCAAGCAGCCTCTTGGGCCGACACAGACTTGGCGGAGTTCTAGAAGAGGAGTCACTGTGGGCAGGGAAGTGGTGAGGTGGAGTGGGAGAGTGGGAAGTGCCTTCAGCTGCTTCCCGAGCCTGGTCTTGTCACCCAGGTTTGAAGATGGAATCGCCTTGGCACCACCAGCCAGGGTAGACAGCCCGCTCATTCTGTGACAGTGCTTTGCTGTGTTCCTCGTACAGACTGGACTCCACACTAGAGACTGAAGTCTCACAGAGGGCCAGGAGAGTGCTCAGGGTTCCAACTGAGGAGCTCCCTCCCAGCCTGGGTGCTTCCCACAGTGCAGGGCACTCGAGTAGGAGCCTGTGTGGGACGCGTTCCTTAGGCACTGGGGGGTCAGCCATGGTGACCCCAAGGGCTAGATGGCAGCCCCTCCCACTGGTGCAGCCTGGGGCGGGGTGTTTTGTCTATCAGCACTGGACCATGGGCTGATGCTTGTTAATTGCTTGCTATGCTGCCTAGCACACAGGCCCTGGGGAAGATCTGCCCTTACTCTTCCCCTATCAGGGCTTCGCTGCAGACCACACCCTGGGGTTGGGCATAGAAGTAGTGGTGGGTGACCCGAGCTGTTGGAGGGCAGGGACCTGCAGGGCAGGGCTTCAGCTGTGCTCCTGCCTTCCAGGACCTGCCCTCGTTCACCCAGAGTGTGCACAGGCTGGTCAACGACCTGCGCTACTACCGGCTCTGCAATGATAGTCTGCCTCCTGGCACTGTGAAGCTCTAGCCCACTGCCAAGGGATGCGCACTGCTGCACAGTGGCCGCACCGCCTGCGCCTCCACCTCCGCCACAGGCGTCGCCAGGGAGGTCTCAGCCCTGAGTGGTGAGACTGGCCTCTGCCCTCCACTGCCCGTCCTGCTGCAGCCCAGTGGAGCCGGCTCCAGGTCCATCGCTGCTCTGGTTGGTTCCCAGGGCACTTGGAGCAGGAGGAATCCTGGGCCCAGGTACCCCAGGCACCGGGAGATCCACGGAGCGATCTGTGCAGAGCAGTCACGGGGCAGAAGCACCAAGGACAGCTTAGGACAGTGCCACCTTCTCACCATCCGCCTCCCCAGCGCCCTGGGCCAGCTGGCCAGGAGAAGCCATGCTGGGACTGTTTCTGTGGAGTCTCCCCTCCCTCCACTCCCTCCCCTCCCCTCTGATTGCCTTGGAGGCTCTGCTCTGCCAGGGATTTGCAAAGACTCATGTTTTTGTTCTTGTTTTCTCATCATTCCATTGTGATACTAAGAAACAAAGCTTAATGAAAAATAAAATGCTTACCTTGTTGTTATATAAAGCTGGCGAAGGAGCTTCTTTCTGTCCAGATCCCGGTAAGGCAGGTGAGGGGCAGAGTGGGCAGAGGGCTGAGGGTGCTCGAGTTGTTTGTCTCTGGGGAGGCCTCACTGGTGTGCGGTCTCTGTGTCAATCGTCTTCTAGAGGACATCGCTTGAGTGAAGTGAGTGAGGAGCCGGGTTCCTGTTTCTTGTATTCCAAGGAGAGAGAGGAGCTGGTCCCAGCAAAGGGACCTCACGGTGACACGTGCACCCGGCCTGCCTGACTGCTGGGCCCAGAGCTGTGCCCGGCCCTGCTTCTCTGCATCGAAGGCGTGGGCTACCACTGCCCACCTTCTATGCTTTCCCAGGGTGGCCCACAGGAACTGTCCCTCGGGACTGGAGTCTCGCCTGAGGACAGTAGGGAGGTTGAGGACCCTGGATAGTTTGCCCAGAGAACAGAAGTAGGTAGGGGAGGAAGGGAAACGGGTATGTGAGAGCCAGGCCCTGCCCTGGGGTGTGTGGAAAGGGTACTTGTCCTTGAACTTCGAGGAGTAACAAAGATGTCATGGTGACTGAACAGGCAGGACTATGGTAGATTCTGATGTGGACCTGGCTGGGAGAGACTGGCTTACCTGAAGGTAAAGGTGTGGTTTCCAAGAAGGGTGGGCACTGGCTTTCGGTGGAACTGAGGAAGAAAGGAGCCATGGGCTGATGGGGGCCGGACCAGCTCGCAGCATAGAGTGACTGCTCTGCCTGCAGCTTGCCCCAGTTCAGAGTTCTGAAAGGAGAGGATTGAGACGCTAATTGCTCTTCTGCAGAAAGGAATTAGCATCTGATTATTCAGGTCTATAAATACTGCCTCACCTGCCTGCTGGGAAGCCAGAGGCTGTGCCCGATCAGAGCTTTCTGCAGGGCTGGAGGCAGAGGGCCAGGGTTGGGCTTGTCGCCTGGCGTCCCACCTGGGACAGGAACACAGGCAGCAGTTGGGGTGGTAGAGGAAGGGCTGGGGGAAGGTGGGCTGAGACAGGGGCTCTTGGGGCTCTTGTTCCAGGAGCGCTGGGGATGACCCTGGTCTTGGGTGTGGGCTCCCGCTTCCCGCTCCCACCCTGTGGAGGCAGGCACTTGGTGATCTGCAGAAAGAGCCTCCTCCCTGGGGCTCTAGTCTGGGTCCCCTTAGGGCCGTGTTCCCATAGGCTTGAGAGCAAGCTGGAAACTACCTTTGTGTTCTGAGTGAGGAGGGAGGACAGTGACCTTTCGGTCTGTCTGGGGTGGGAATAGCAGGTAACAGCAGGGGCTTCACCCAGGAGCCGCTTTCCTGCCGCCTCAGAGCCTCCTGGGAGGGCACCTCGTCTCCGAGCTGGGCCCTGCCTGCCCTGTTCTACTGTGTCGTTTACGTCAGCCCAGGGCCAGCTGCTGGGCTCGGAAGGAGAGCAATGAGACCCTTCCTCACGGGCCAGCAGTTTCCTCTGCTGCCTACCTTTAGTCTCAAGCAGTGCAAGAGGGAATTTTTTGAAACAGCATTTGCTTTTCTCCTGTTAACTATTGTAGTAGAATACGTGAAATAGCCAGAACTCTTACTTAAAAAATAAATTTATCTCACCCTGCTGCCTGGAGAAAGGAACCATTGATATTTTGGTGTGTTTTCTTTTTTCATTTTCCTGTATGTGTGCAAATATGTATGGTTTTGTGTTTTCCTGGTTCTCTTTTGTAGCACTGAGCTCCTGGCTGTTCTAGAGTCTTACACATTTAACATGTGAGCCTGTCCTTGTGTTACTAAATACTGCTCAGAACGTGCTTGTTAATGACATGTGGCATTTCATCACATGGATTTGCCTTTATCTGTAGTTTTTCTTTATTACCAGTGATGCGGTGAACATGCATGTGCATAAATCTGCATGCTTGTCTTTATCTTCCCATAAGCTGAATTCTAACCACTGGAGCTACGGGGTCAAATGTTTTGGCCACTTGTGGCTATTGCTGGGGCCTGATTTCTCTTCTGAAGAAGGGCAGAATTTACAGGCTCTGAAGTTCCTAAAGGCTTGAGCAGAGAAGTGTCCCGGAAGCCATATTCAAGCCACGCCCTGGTTTGTGGATCCAGAGACTCGAGGCAGGGCCTCTGGTTACTGAGCACCTTGTTACCTGGCGCTCTCCCCGTGTGTCACATCTGCAGGGCGGTGGTGGGACAGGAGAGGAGCAGGTGCTGCTACCTCGCTTCCTGGACCTCACCAGAAGAACCACGATTGACAGCCATTCCTTCCTCTAACACGACATTGCAGATGCTCCTGCAAGCTGGGTGCTGGCTGCGTGAGAGATGAGATGAGCATGCAGCCTGTGACCCCGGAATTCACAGAGACCCGGGAGACAGCCGGCAGGAGACAGCTGCTTGAGGGTGCTAAGCACTGTGATGGGCCGGGCCCCTGTGGCCCTGGGACCAGGGAGGGCGTACTGCAGGTGACAGCCAGTTGGGCAGGTCCTTGGGGCGGGTGAGGAGCTCCCTATTGGCGGCTGGGTCTCGGAGAGAGGTGACAGCAGCCCCAGGCTGGAGCTGACTGGCCACGGTGGGGTTAGCAGGGGCCTTAGGTGGCTGCTGGGAGTGTGGCTGTCCGTTTTTTCCCACAGCGGCACAGGTTGAGCAGAAAGCGATTCTGGGATAGCAGGTGTCTCCCTGCTCACGGAAGAGGAAGTGCCTGGCTCTGTCGCTCAAGGTGCAGACGAGTCTTGTCAGCTGCCTTCTCCACTTCAGACGCATGGTGCAGTCTGTCCAGTGCACGGGGACACGCAGGTGACAAGCTGTGTGCTGTCTGTGCGCAGAGCGTTTGGTTGAACACTTGCCTGCCTTGCTTGCCTCCAGGCAGCTCTCGGGGACACCTGGTGTCTTCCTGGCTCCTTGATGCCTGGCTGCCCCATCTACCTCCCCACGTCCCAAAGGTGCCACCTCTGACTTCTCTGGAGTCTCCTGAACACCCCACTTCCTTGGGCTGATCTTCAGGATAACAAGGCTGGGCTCTGATTCCTGCCTGCTCAGCCTTGGCCTTGGCTCCAGGGCCCCTTGGGGACAGCACTTGAGCACAGGCTCTTCAGTTACCTTTCAGCTCACAGTTGAGCTCTTCAGCTCAAGGACTCCCCTCTCCACTCTCCCCTTCCATATCACTTGGAAACGTCTTTTAAAAGCCTTGTTAATTAACTGGCTCAGGGCCTCCCTCGGACTTGGCGGGTGGCAGGGCTGATAGCAGATGTGGGTCAGCCTGAGCCTCCATGGGGACTGAGGGTGGCAGCAGCTCTATGGGGTCAGTCAGGCGCAAGGGGCTTGGGAAATTAAAGATTTAAATGCAACATCCAGGAGCCCCAAATAGATGGGCTTTCTGGCAGCAGGTACATTTTCTTAGCTCCCCACTCTAGTTTTTGCATGGAAATGATACCCACATGTTCTTTGCAGATAATTATAAAGAAGAACGTGTCTCCTCCACTGTTGAGTGACATCTAGGTGGGAGCCTGCAGGACCTTTCTGGGCTTTCCGTGCAGATGTCGGTCTGTGGGAAGAAGCCCTGGTCCCTGCCTGGCGCGGGTCCTGCTGCCCCTGAGGCCTCTCTGCATACCTCGGGGACCTCACGGCCTTTGGAGACCGTGGCCGCCTGGCTGTTTCACTCCGAAGCCACGAGCTGAGGCTGGGTGGGTAGAGTGGGTTCTGTGGACCATCGAGGGGGATAACCTGGTACCGGGGTCTGGCGCTGTCCTGAGTTCTTGGGGCCTGAGGATGGGAGGCTGCAGCCTGCCCACACCTCCTCTCCCTGCCCCATCCCTGCACTGTGCTGGGTGGAGGCTTCCTGAGCTCAGTGAGTGGTGACCTTGCTTCCAGCCTCTGAAGGGCATGGAGTAGAAGTGATGTGTCTCTGCAGTGGGATGTGTGGGATCTTAATATCCCAGGCAGGCTGGAGGGGCCGGGGCCGCCTTCAGCCAGTGCTCGGAGGTGGGCCAGTGCCGAACACTGGCCACTGCCCGGCCATGCAGGCATCGCCTTCTGCAGCACCCCTACCCCACTGTAGGGTTCCCTGCTTGCAGAGCAAACGAAGACTGAAGCTCCGAGGAAGGGAAGGGACTCGCCCAAGGCCACACAGCAGGCTGGCAAAGCTGGGGTCCGTCCTAGAGTCCATGTTATCTGTGCTGTGCCTGTGCTCCCCGGCCTGTCTCAGACACTGGAGGCCAAGGCCACTGTGCCCCACTGGGAGTACAGGAGCTCTGCTGACTCAGATTCTGATGACTCAGGAGACAGGGCATCTGTCGCCAGGACGGCGAGGCCCAGGACTGACTGGGCCTGCCCACAGCCACGCAGCTAAAATGTGAAGCAGGAATTCCCACTGGTCTGGAGGGTCACAGATTCTGCCCTCTGTTCCCAGGCAGACTCCAGGTGCTGCCTGGCTCCTTCCCCTGGCAGCGGATGCCAGAGCCAGGGCGCTGCCGCAGGAGCTCTGGAGCGGGGCCTGGCAAGCTGTGGGCATGGGGTCCAAGTCCCTCTGTGCCCCAGATTGGCCACACCTGCCAAGTCCCTTGCCTTCCTAGGCCCTGCCCCCTCTTGGCCTCCTGGGGCCCCTTCCTGGCCCACAGTGGGATGCATGCCTAGTTGGCTGTGCTTGCTCCAGGGTGGGAGGGGCTTTTCTGTGGCCAGGCCGTGGTTTCCCTTTGGAGGTGGCCGTGGGTGACCTTGGACTCGCACCTCAGCCTGTGAGACTTAGGCTCTGCCTTACTCTGGCTCCTGAGTAGACACCAGTGTTTTCCGAGGCTGTGCTCTGCGTGCATGCACGTGCATGTGTGTGTGCACGCTTGTGCATGCGGACTGTGAATCCTGGAGGCTCAGACGGCACAGAGCACACCTGTTTCTGTAGCCGATCTCATCCTGCTTTGGAGAAACCAGTGGTGGGAAGGATATTTTATTGAATAAAAATTTCTGGTTAAACAGAGCTCATTTTGTCCAGATTTTTAAGAATCAATGAAAGTAGAGGAGAATAAACACTTGGCAGAGATTGAGCACTTTCAGGATAGTGGTGACAGTAGGGCTTTCCCCAGTGTAACTGTGTCCATAACCAACAGGGACCTAGAAGCGGGGCCTGCAGGTGCCCTGTGGGCGATGCAGGGTGAAGCTGGACTCTGCTTTGTTTTATATCTGTCTCCTCTGTTGCCTTCAAACTTTGAGTCAGAAGCCTGTGTGGCACTTAACATGGGCATGCTGATCACTTACTCAGTCTGTCAAAGAGCCGCTCACACCTCTGTTGGCTCTAACTCCCTGACCTGCTCATCCTCTGTCTTCAGGATCTGCACGGCGGCTGATTGAGTTTCTACACTTGCTGCTCCAGACCCCTGGAGTGATGCCTAGAGATCTGCAGGGTGTCCCAAGTCTGCCTGACCTTGGACCCCAGAGCCTGCCGAATAGACCACCTTAACATGAGCCCCCGAGCAGCAGGTACTGCATGGCGAGCAGGACTAGGCCGAGAGAACAGGCTCACCAGTGCTGCCAGTTGTGCAGAACCCCCTGTGCCCCTTTCTGTGCAGCCCCAGAGCTCTGTTGACCCTGGAAGGCAGACCTCGAGCCCCTGTGCTTCCCAGCAGGGCCGGCTGATAAAGTTCCTTCTGCCTTGCCCTCAGCCCCCTCCTTTTTTATTTTTAGATTTTTCAGCTTTGTTAAGAAACAAATTAACAGGGCCGGGGATGTAGCTCAATGGCACCACACCTGCCTGGCAAGCACAAGGTCCTGAGTTTGATCCCTGGTGCCGGGGAAAAAAAAAGATATAATTAACAAAAATTGTATATGTGGCATACAGTGTACTGTTCCGATCTATGAATACCTGGTGAGATAAGTTAAGCTAATTGACACATCCATTACCTCACATACTTATCTGTGTGTGTGTGTGTGTGTGTGTGTGCACGCGCGCGCATGCTCTTTTATTGGCATTTTGGGACAGGTGGCCTAAAGTCGAGGCTTTTACCCTAAAACTCCAGTAACATAGCTTTGAAACATTATTCAATTTCAGGATTCATAAAATTCATCCCAATACTCTGGGAGGCTGAGGCAGGAAAATTGAGTTTGTGTCCTGTCTTGGTAACTTAGCAAAACAGTCTCAAAATTTAAGCAAGCAAGAAAGAAAAAAGGCTGGGGACGTAGCAGTGTAGCTCAGTGTAAAGACCCTGGCTTCAGTCCCCAGCACTGCCTCCCACCCCCAAAAAGAGTAAAGTGAAGGAAAAATAGTCTGGTGACCTATCAGTGTGGTAGCTTGTCAATACTCACAGGTAAACTTCAAGTTGCTTCAAAACACACGGGATAAACAAAGACAGAAGTACTAAAAAATGTGAAAGGGTTGGGCCAGGGATTTAGTTCAGAGGCACTGCGCCTGCCTCGTAAGTGCAAGGTCCTGAGTTTGATCCCCGGTACCAAAAAGAAAAAATATGAAAGGGTTGTTTGCAATCATACTTTGGCAAATCATTTTTATTATTTTGAAACACTATAAAAATAGTGAGGTTGGGGCCGGGGATTTAGCTCAGTGGTTTCTCTGCCTGCTGCGCAAGCACAAGGACCCGAGTTTGATCCCTGGTACCAAAAAAATAAAAAATAGAAACAGGTTTTCAGCATAGGACAAAAGAAATATAAAATATAAGTCAAAAAATATAATCTCTCAGGCCGGGGATTTAGCTCAGTGGCCTCGCCACAAGCGCAAGGACCCAAGTTCGATCCCCGTTACAAAAGAAATAAATCTCTCAGCCTTCAGTGCTAACTGTCAGGCTTCTTTCTGGCTTGGGACTTTATTAAAGAATAGCAGGTGGCCAGACATGGTGGCAAGTGGCACATGCCTGTCATCCCAGCACTTGGGAGGCTGAGGCAGGAGGATCAACCTGAGTTGGAGGTTAGCCTGGACTACACAGCGAGACCCTGTCTCAAACAAAACAGAACAAAACAAACAATAGCAGGCAGTTGGGAATTTCCCGTGAGAACCAGGCTGTGACTGAAGCTAAATTCTGACCGCCTGACTTAAGTCTTGGTGGCCTCCAGCAGGCGCTGGCTTGCTCTGGGAAGCAATTCCTCTTTCCCGGCTGGTGTCCCCGTGGCTGTGGCTGTCTGCGGGCGAGCCCGCGTCTGCTGCGGGGAGGCTGGCACACTGACGCTGCTCTGGAGGTGGATGGCGCAGAGTCCCCCTCGCAGGGCTGTCATCTTCACTCCCCAGTGCCAGGAATGGTGCCCCTGGCCGCCCCTCGCCACTTGTGCCCAGAGGAGACAGTGCAGACTCCCACGCACACCCGAGAGAGCCCCGAGCCGTGGTGGAGCCAGAGCGGGACTGGGCCAAGACCAGCCCTGCTTCTGAAGCACCCACCCTGAGGTGGCCCGGACTCCTCCCCAGGGCAATGCTCACCTCAGCCCCTTGCCCCACCACGCGTGCGGGCCCACGGAGAGACCCCGGAAATCAACAGCTGGACAGCCGAGTGTGGGATCCGGCCATGGCGGTGATGGGAGACGTCCACAGTAACTGGGAGCCGGCACCCGAGAGGAGCAGCCCGGGCAGCCTGTGCAGAGGCGACCTGCATTGAGACCTGGGTGAGCTGTTCAGGCCACAGGACTGGGGCAGGCATCAGCTGGGCGTGTTTGGGAACAGAAAGCTTGTGTATGTGTAGGGGTCAGATTTATTTCATTGTTTAAATTTGTACGTGGAGCAATTTGACAGGAACTGGAAAACAACAGGAGTACAGAGTATTCCCCTCTCCCCGGGGTCTGGGGGCTGCTGTCCTGCCCTGGCTGCCTTGTTGGGCCTGGGTCTCAGCCCTCCCTGTCAGCATGACTCCCCGGCCCTGGATGCAGGCCGCCCACAGGCCTTCCAGCTCCTTGGGCCACATGGAGCAGCAGCAGGGCAGGCTGGAGGGCTGTGCCGGGCCTGCCCCACCTGGCACATACTGGGCAGGAGCCTGGGGCTTTACACTGAGCTGCATCCACAGCCCTTGGATTTTTTTCTTTTTCTTTTTTTTGTACCAGGGATCGAACTCAGGTCCTTCGCTTGCGCAGCAGGTGGCAAAACCACTGAGGTACATCCCCGGCCCAAGCGCTTGGTTTTTTCAACCTCAAGACAGGCAGAACTCAAACTTGTGATCCTCCTGCTGCAGCCTCCCAGAGTGTTAGGGATTCGGGCCTGTGTCACCACAACCAGCTCATGCACAACACTTTTGCCAAATGTCCACAACTCTCGAACCCTGAGCTTTGGGGATTTTATGGAGGCCTTATTATGTAGGCTTCTAGAATCACATCGCTGGACATAGGGGTGCAGAGGCGGGACAGAAAGCTGCACCCTCTGATGGGAGGTCGTTTCCCTTGGCAACCAACCCCACCCTGAAGGCCTCTGGGGTCTCAAAGTTTCCCTTTTCGGAGCACGGACGCCAGGATATTCCAAGGGATTCGGATGTGGGCCAGAGACCAAAGGCTGGTGTGAAGTAATACAGTACTTGGTCAGCCGGGGAGATTGTCTCCTGTCCACAGCAGTTATGCAGTTCCTAGGAACCCGAGCCCATGAGGGCGGATTCTTAGATTGTTCCCAAGAAGCTGCAGACTCCAATTGTTTGTACGATGTCTGATTTTAAAGTGTTGGCAGGCCAGGGATGTATAGTTCAGCGGTGGTGTGTGGTGAGCATGTACAAGGCTTTGGGTTTGCTCCTCAGCCTCTCACAGACCACACACACACACACACACACACACACACACACACAAATAAGTAAGCATCTTGGCACAAATATAAAGAGAAAGAGGGCCGGGGATTTAGCTCAGTGGTTCCGACACCTGCCTTGCAAATGCAAGGTCCCAGGTTTGATCCCTGCACCAAAAATAAAACAAAACCCCAAAACAAAAGAAAGTAAGCCGAGCCGGGAGTTTGCCGCCTGTAAGGTGGGGATTGTTTTGTCTGTCCTGCAGGTGGTTCAGGGGCCAGGTCACCTGTCAGCAGCACACAGCTGTGAAGTGGCCGTGCCCCCCCACCCCGCCCGCCGACGGCTCTGCATCTTTCTGCAGCCATCCTGGTCCCCGGTCCAGATTCAGAATCCACGCCCGTCCCCTCCACACAAGTGCCATTTCAGAGACTGGTGAGCAACTAGGGCATGACGCACCCACGAGAGAAGACCTGAGAAGCTCTACATGTTGGCTGCTGGGAAACGCTGATGTTTAGAAGAGACCTGGTGGCACATTCAAGTCAGTCAGCTGTCCATTACCATAACAAAGCGCCTGAGGCGGCCACCCTGAGAGGTCAGGCTCACCTGCTTGGCTCTCGGCTCTTGGCCTGGTGGTGCGGAGTGCAGCCAGGGCCCCCACAGCCCCAGGCCTGGCGACGGCACAGTGAGCACCACCACTGCCTGGACCCCACCAGGCCTCCTGTCCCAGTGTCCACGGGGCACTCACTGTGACATCACGGCTGGGTGCTGACCACAGGGGCCCGGGTGCTGTCACCGTGGCTTCCAGACTGCGGACCTGGCTGGCTTCCTCAGTGCTGGACGTCACTGCCCTGAGCCCCGGCCTGGCCGCCTGTGTCACAGCCACAGCATCCTGGTGGGGTAATTGTTGTTTTCAAAGCCCATTAGGTTTTGGAAGTTTGTTAGGCAGCAATAGACTGGCACAGCCACCCTGCCTCAGTCTCAGCTGTGACATTTGGGGGAACTGACTCTGGGACAGGTCTAGACTGGTAAAAGCCAATCAGAGCTTCCCTTTCTCTCTGTCCACTGTGGGACTTTAGGAATCATTTTCTGAGAAAGAGAAACTTCCCTGCTGTCTTAAAAAGAGATGGTGTGGGATGAGAATGTGATGTCAGGAATCAAGGCAGCCACTTTGTTTCATGTGAATTTCCATATGAAGCCAGAAGAGGAAAGGATGCAGGCGTCAGTGGAAGAAAGCAAAGCAGCAAGTTGGAAAGGACCCGAGCCCTTGATGTCTTTGAGCTGCTGGATCAAGCTGTCCCCAAAGCGAGATGTGCATCCCTCTCAGCTTTCCAAGAATATAAACCACTGACTGCTACTGAAATGGTTCACACCAGCCCTAAATGACATACCTTGGTCCATTTTAGTTTAGTTAAAAAAAAATAGTTTGGGACCTGTGTAGACAAAGAAATATGTTAGGGCACTATCTCTGTTAAAACAAACAAACCAGAAATAACCTAGTTACCCAACAACAGGAGATTAAAAGTAAATTTTCGAACATCCACAGGGTGAAACACTCTGCAGTCCTTGGGGTATGACAGGCATCACTGGATCTGAAGTCATTTTCTTTCCAGTACCGGGGATCGAACTCAGGACCTTGCGCTTGTGAGGCAGGGCGGTGCCACTGAGCTACATCCCCAGCCCCGAAGCCTTGCTTGTGTCACTTACTTCCCTCGTGACCCTTGGCATGTGGCTTCTCTGAGCCCTGTTTCCTTTTCTGTCAAATGGTTACAATAATGGCGTCCACTCACCAGACTTTGTATGAAACTTAAGCCTGGTCCGAGGAGCATCCAAAATGTTTCATTGATGGTTCCTGTGATCCACGTCTTAAGACACCAGGCAGTGACCATGGCATGACTTTCAATATAAAAACCCAGATACAGAACCGGGCATGCGCTGTCGTTAAAATGCTACAAAATACACATACAGTTTTTTCATGAAAACACTGAATTAGCCAGTGAAATGAATATTAAATAGTGAAGTTGCAAGCAACTTAAAATTATTCGTACCTTTTTGGTATCTTCTACATTTTCTATATCATAATACTTTATGCTCAGAAGAAAAAAATGTCAGAAAGGAAAGAAGTGAGAAGGAAAGGTGGAAGGAGGGGAGAAGGCAGGCAGGTGGCTCTGGGGCCGCGTGGGCCTGGCGGGCAGGTGGAGGCAGCCCCCGATGGCCCTGCGTGACTCGCCCAGAGGTCCACACCGAGGCCGGCCGGGAACCATGTGACTGGGGAAGCGGCCTGGTGTTGCCCAAGGCCCCTCCCGCCAGGGGACAGCGCCGGCGCCCCTCTCTGAGCCACGCCTGGAGCCCCACATTCTCAAGCTCCTCCTCAGCACCCTCCGCACAGCACTTCCGGGCAGTGCTCGGTGAGGGCCGGCCGCCCAGGAGGCAGGGACCGCGCTGGGGAAGCGCAGGTTCTGACTCGGGTTTGGCTAACGTGGTTGGGGAGTAAGTGGGCCGCTCACGCTTGCACATCCTTTCCCGGTTCTCTCGGCCCTGTGTACCTTGTTTCCAAGGAAGCCGCTGTGGTTTGGACGTGGTTTCTCTCCACGAGACCGAGCGAAAATCTGGTTCCCGTGCGGCCGTTAGGAGGTGGGCCGTCGCCGTGGGGCCTCTGCCCCTGGGCCGGGACCCGTGTCTTTCTCAGGAGGCCGGGGGAGTTCTCGTGGGAGTGGGTCCTCCTAGAACGAGCCTGCACTGCTGTCGCCTCTCTGCTTCTCTTCCTCACCCACCCACTTGTCCTCCTGCTTTTCCTTCATGCACGGAGCAGCATGTGGTCCTAGCTGAGTGACAGATTGTGAGCCAAAAGAACCTTCACTTCTTGATAAATCACCTACCTCAGGCATTTTGTTACAGTAACAGAAGATACTTGACTACAAAAGCTTTGGGGTTTCTCTGGTTTGCCTCTTGTTCTCCTCTCCCTGTCTTTGGTCCCTGGTCTTGCTGGGCTGACTGCCTGGGTCCACCATAATTCCCATCCAGCTCTCTCCTCTTCCAGGAATGCCCCGAATGGGTCTGGGGAAGAGGACTTTGGGACTGGACAGGAGAGAGGAAAGTTAGAGCACAGACACCCCCTTATCAGCCAGCCTTGGCTCCGCAATGCTCCGTCTCAAACGGCCCCACGAGTCCTCTCCCAGCAGCGCTCACTTGTTCTCAGCACCTTTTGCCTGTTTGCTGGCTGACCTCAGCAGGGCCTGTCAGGCAGCTCTGGCAGTCTTGGCGGCTCAGCCACATAGTGGTGGTGTCCCCCAGAGGGGCCTCCATCAAGGTCTGCATCCTGGGCCAGCGGAACGCCTGGCATGCTTTTGTCATGGCAATGGCAGCAGAGCGTGAGGTCCCTCGAGGCCTGGACTGGGGACTGACCTTCAGGATGGCTCCCCTATGGCTGGGCCTGCCACAGTGGACTCCCACAAAGGGCGGCACAGACCGAGCGGGGGCAGAGGCCGGAGGCCACTGGCGCCGTCGCACGGCCATTCCTGTCGTGACGCTGCCTTCTGAGTCTGAGTGGGATCTGTCTCCACTGAAGCGCGTGCTGAGGCTCCATCCTTGGGCTAGCTTTTCATCACTGTGACCAAACACCTGAGAAAGTCAGCTTAGAGGAGGAAAGTGTTGTTTTGGCTCAAGAGTTCAGTCTCTGGTCAGCCGGCTCCAAGGCAGAAACATCATGGTGGAAGGGCCTGGTGGAGGAGAGCTGCTCACCTCATGGCAGCAGGAAGCAGAGAGGAGGGGAAAGCCACAGAGGAAGAGGCCAGGGGCCAGACAGAGCCCTGAGTTCATGTCCCATGAGCCACTCCCATCAGCTGGGCCCCACCTCCTGTTTCCATCCCCCCAATAATGCCACCAAGTCATGACCTCAGCGATGGATGATCCAGTGAGGGTGTCAGAGCCCCCCAACCCAGTCGCCTCTGAGAGCCCCAGCTCTGCACACACGGGCCTATGGGACACAGTGTAGATCCCGACCATTCCAGTCCCCAGTGTGCAGAGCTGGGGGGCGGCGCGGAGAGACAGCAGAGTCTCCGTGAAGAGATGAGAGCTTTTCTCATGGGAGCGAGTTAGCTACCTAGGGCTTCAACCCCTCCTTCTCTCCTCATGCCCTGTTCTCTCAGCTTTCACAGGCACTCCAGTCACGTGATGCCATCTGCCACGTTGTGATGGAGCATGGGGCCCTCACCAGATGCAGCTACCTGATCCTGGACTTGCCCTCCTCCGGAACTAAGAGCTAGTTCTTTTCTTGATAAATTTCCCAGTGTCAGGTATTCTGGCATAGCAACAGAAAGCAGACCAAGATTCTACCCTTGCCTCCTTCTGAATCTCTCTGCGTTAGCTCTTCATCACTGGGACAAAAATACCTGCTATAAACAAAGAGCAAAGGTTTATTTTGACTCATGGCTCCAGAAGTTTCAGTCCATGGCTGGCTGGCTCTAAGGCCGGCACAGCATGGTGAAGGATGTGGCAGAGCCAAGCAGCTCAGTTCATGGCAGACTGAGCAGAGTCAGGGAGCAGCACCAGAGAGGAAGGGGTGAGGCACCACGTAGGGTACCCCGGGCCATGTCTCCATGACCCACCCAGACACATGCAGGAGCGTGCTGTACTAATCCGCTAAGTGGTGGTTAACCCAGCGAAGCTGACACATCAGGATTGGTGGTCACAGACCCACTTACCCTGCAAAAGCAAATAAGCAACCTCCTCACCCAGTGGGGCCCCAGCTCCAAGAGCTCCTTCAGCTGCAAGCCCATCAGTGAACTGGTGCTCGGCTGAGTGCAGCCCGGATCCAGGCCTCTCCACCCTCCTCCGAGCTGTGCGTGGGACACTTCCTAACACTCTCCAGGCGCCTGGCCGCACGAGAGGACGGGCCCCTGCAGGCCTGCGGCCTCGCTCCCACAGCCGTGCAGCCGGAGGACAGGAGGGGCCCCAGCGAGTCGGAGTCACCCATTGATTCTGAGCACGTACTCATGTTTTTGCAGTACCGGGGTGGACCGGAGTGCCCTGTGTGCTCTAAGCAGGGCGGTACCCCTGAGCCACACCCCAGCCCGGATTTCGGCTTCAGAACTTCGTAATGTCCTCAACCACAAGGGGGCGCCACACCGGTTGCACGGCCCTTCTCACTCTTGTGTCTCCCGAGACCCTGACTTCACCTATCTGAATGAAACCCTCTTCTAACTTGCTCGATTTGTTTTCTTGTCAAAATCTCCCTACTCAAAATGGGCTGAGCACTCGCAGGGGTCCGGGGAGACACCTCTGGAAGTGACAGCTGCGTCGTAAGGTGTCCTGGGCACTGGGGTTGGGGTCTCACGGCCGGGTGAGGCCCAGCTCTCCTGCTGACCCGGGGCAGCTCCCCTCTCCCTGCGCCTCAGGTTCGCGCCTAGGACACAAGAGCACGAGGCACGCAGGGCTGCAGCAAGGAGTAAACAGGTCACGTGTGCGGCACTTAGTAGCCGGACAACAAATCACATGTTTCTGTGCTTTGTTTTCCCTGGGAGATGAGAAGGGGAAGAAGACTCCGGCAGTGTGAGCGCCCGTGCCGGCTAACACAGCCTCCGGGTGGGCTGCAGAAGAGGCGCTTTGGTCCAAATCCTGGGGACGGCGAGGCTGTGCCCAGTGGAAACTAGAACCGCCCTGCCCTGAGCTAGCAGCCGGCTGCTCACCTCCAGCCTCA